CCTATTATTATGTTATCCTTCTTTTACTCTTTAAAATAAAAAAAAAAAAAAGAAAGCTCCTAGAATTCAGTTTTTCCCCTGGCTCCTCTCTTTTCTGACTCCAGCTAATAAACTAGAATTAATATATAGAGAAGCAAACATACTAAGTCCTAAGTGGGTCCCAAGAGTTGAGAAGGGAATGTACTCCAGGGAAAAGGAGGGAGCAATGCATGCTTCCTGGGGAGAGACATGGGGGTTTTACAGTAATCCCTGCAAGCAAGCAGATTTAACATTAATTTACCTGTTAAATATCTCAACAAAGTACTTGAAAACAAACTGCCTGCATCTCCAGAAATGAAGAAAGTACAGAGAACCACATAAATGCCCTCCTTCACCTGGAATTTCCCTCCCAGAGAGAGTGAGATATTTGATGCTGGGTGATAGTCAGCACCACTGGGTCCATCCTTCTCTCCAAAGCAAGCCCAGAAAGCCATCTTCGTGCATAAGAGAAACCTGAGTAAAATTCATGTTTTTTCTTTATAGATTTAGGTCCCATGAACAGATCCGCAATGCCCACGGTGACCGAGTTTGTTCTCCTGGGATTCCCTGGTTCCTGGAAGATACAGATTTCCCTCTTCACTTTGTTCTTGGTGTTTTATGTTTTAACCTTGCTGGGAAATGGAGCCATTGTCTGTGCAGTAAGATGTGACCCACGACTACATACACCCATGTACTTTTTGCTGGGAAACTTTGCGTTCCTTGAGATCTGGTATGTGTCCTCCACTGTTCCTAACATGCTGGCCAACATGCTCTCCAAGACAAAGACCATCTCTTTTTCTGGGTGCTTCCTTCAGTTCTACTACTTCTTTTCACTAGGCACGGCTGAATGTCTCTTCCTGACGGTGATGGCCTATGATCGGTATTTGGCTATCTGCCACCCCCTGCACTACCCCTCCCTCATGACCAGCAGACTCTGCTGCACACTGGTGTCTGCATGCTGGCTTACTGGATTCCTTGGATATCCAATACCCATTTATTTCATCTCCCAACTTCCCTTTTGTGGTTCTAATATCATTGATCACTTCCTGTGTGACATGGACCCGCTGATGGCTCTGTCTTGTGCCACAGCTCCTGTTACTGAAACTATTTTTTATGCTCAGAGTTCCTTTGCCCTCTTTTGCACTATTATATACATTCTTCGATCCTATGTTCTGCTGCTTAGAGCAGTTTTTCAGGTCCCTTCTGCCTCTGGGCGGTGGAAGGCCTTCTCCACCTGTGGTTCTCATTTAGCTGTGGTGTCCCTTTTCTATGGGACAGTCATGGTGATGTATGTGAGCCCTACGTATGGCATCCCCACTTTGATGCAGAAGATCGTCACACTGGTGTATTCAGTAATGACGCCTCTCTTTAATCCCCTGATCTACAGTCTTCGTAATAAGGACATGAAACTTGCCCTGAGAACTGTCCTGCTTGGAATGAGAGCTAGTAAAGATTCATGAGTCAAAGGTGACATCTTTACAGGTTCTGATGAAGAACAAGATGGAGATATATCAGTTCTCTGGGGTCTTTTAGACTTTCATTTCAGAAATTAGAGGCCATACATTTCACGTGGAAATGCTTCTAGTTTAAATAAGGTTTTGGTGCTTGCTACTTAACCCTTAAAGCACTGATCTTTTAACACCCAGTGATTTGTTTTAAAGTTTGTCCTCACTGGAAATATAAAAAGGGGTTGCAATACGAAGTGCTCTCCTACTGAGATGCCTCATGACCTGTCATCATGCATCTCATTACAAGATAATAAACCCAACTTTGTGTGATTATAGATATGTTCTTGCTGACATGTGATAGGAATCAATGGTAGTCAATACCTAGTATACAATAAGGCTTAGAAAATAGTTCCTCTGGGGTTAGGATATAGCTCAGTGGTAGATTGATGGAGACCATTATGAAGCAGCTCTGAGCAGAATTTAAAATTAACTAATTCACTTTCCATGTTTACTTGTGAGTCACTGGTACCAACTGAGACCTGTAATGGAGGGTGAAGCCATGAGGCCTCAAAGGATAAGACAAGGCCACAGCTGAGGGCTTTTGGCTTCAACCCCAATTAACTAAAAGGAGACTACAGCTGCAGGCATCTCACTCCTGCAGTGAAGGCCTTCCTGGAGTTAACATAGTTCTCCTAAATTAACATAAAGCATTACTTGGAGAAGTCTGTAAAGGGATTCCCAAGTCCTGCCCAGATTCCTGCATTTTCTTCAGTATCCCCATCCTTTGTTTGAAAACCAAATAAATAGGGCCACCCAGGAAAGTTCTGGGTCTTCACCCAGAAAATCTCAAATTTTGCAAGAGTTTATCCCTCCTGGAGCCCTAAAATCAGTTCAATTGTCTCATTTATTTAAGCCTTCACCATCCACTCCTTTGGGAGACTGCAGGCCTGATCAGCCCGCAATAACTAAAGGATATTATTAACGTGATAGTAGATAACTTTCCTAGCATGCACAAGGCCCTGGGTTCAGTCTCCAGAACTGCCCCACAAAAAAACTGTTTCTTTGAATTCCTTTTTATTTACATTAAGTTTATTTTTAATTTATACATAGAAACAAAATATATACAGGATAATGGGGTAATATGTGATGCTTTTATACATGTGTATAGTGTGTAAAGTTTAAATCAGGGTAAACATTTATCATTTACTTTTTTTTAATTGTTGTGATTAGGATCAAATTCAAGGCCTACCACATGCTAGAAAACCACCCTATTCCTGAGCTACATCACAGCCCTTCTATTTTAATTTGAGGGTGAGTCTCACTGAGTTGCCCAGGCTTGCCCTGAACTTTCAGCTGTCCTCCCTCAGCCCCTTAGGCAGGAAGTGCAGGCATGTGCCACTACCTCCAGCACCCACCGTTTCTTTCTGTGAAAACTTTAAGGGCACTCTCTTCTAGCTTCTTGAAATGTATGATTCATTATTGTTGTCTGTTGTCATCATCGTGTGCAGTAGCATGCCAGGGCTTCCTGCCCTGTCTAACTGTAGCTGACCATTTCTGTCACAAAGATTGTTTTACTTACAAAAACAGGTGATTGTGGTAACAAATTCAAGCAATTCAGAAGTGTATACAAATGATGGGTTTTCCATTTCCACTCCCACTCCCACCTATCCTGCTCTCTGTGCCTTGTGGTCAATGCATCTAAACTCTTCTGTCTGTCACTCAATGCTTCCATCCTATGCGCCCCCCACCCGCCTTATTTGTTTTCCAGTATTTTGCCTCAGAGCCCTCAGCTCTAGTCAAATCAGTCATGTGTTCTGCTCTCTATGTCTGTGCACTTTCCTTAGGCTGTTTTTCTACCTAGAAAGCTTCACCTTGTCTTCTGCCTTGCACCTTAAGAAAGATAGCTAATAAGTAAATTATTAAACTTACTTTGTAATATAACTCACATCTTATAAGAATGCCATAAGGATTAAATGAGATAATTTATGTAAAGGCCAGTAAGAGACATATTAGAGGCTCTAAACACATGTTTGTTCCTTCTCCTTCCTATCTTTCAAACCTGACTGTGAACAGTTTGCTGCTTACCTTTCAGATTTTGGCTGCACTTGTGGAAACCTATATACTTATCAGTTTTATTTAACTGATGGTTTTTTGTTGTAGTTGTTTTTGTTGTTGTTTGCTGGCTGATTTTCCTGTTTGTTTTTTGTGGGGGTTGGTTTTGGAGACAGGCTTTTGCTATGTAGTTCAGGCCATCCTTATACTCACTCTGCAGCCCAGGCTGGCCTTGGGCTCCCAGCAATCCTCCTGCTTCAGCCTCCTGAGGATGGGGAGTACAGGCATGCACCACCATCTCTAGCTCTTTAACTGACTTTAAACCCAAGTTGGGATAGATGTATATATTTTGGTAAGCATTAGGGGACTGGTTAGAGGAATCATGGCATAGTTTACTTATCTTCTCATAGCTCTATAACCTTGGGTTGTAACCAACAATTGTCAGTTTAACTAACAAACACCCAACTAAATTAGATCAGCACAGCACTAGGTGTAGGTGAAGGGATTTACTCAGGACAGAAGACCACCCTTGGGTATGAGTGGCACCAACCAACAGGCTTATCATCGAGCAGAATATAAGAAAAATAAAGACAGCAGGCTCGCCTCTGTTTCTTCAGAACTGCTCCAGGCTTCACCTTCCCTTCCACGACTCCTGACTTCCAGAGCAAGTTCTTCAGCCTTCCATTACAGACTCTCAGCCTCCCAACATGAACTCACATAGGGCCCCACACTGAGCCCCTGGGACTGTCCCCTTCCTTTGTCCAGCACACACACAGCCTTTATGCAGTTCCACACCTGATTCTGCAGACAGCCATTGTAAGCCTATCCTGTAAATCCTTGTTACTTTTCTCTCGTTGCTGGGACAAAATATCTGATGCCCAAAATGAAGGAAGGAAAGGTTTATTTTGCTTACAGTTTGTGGAAGTTTCAATCCGTACTAGGCATGATTATAAGGCAGAGTGGCACGTGGCAGAGGGCTGCATCTCAGGGCGGCAGCACACAGTTAAGCAACTACCAGGACACACACACCAGGGCAGAATCGAGGAGGAATGCCCCCAAGCAGCTTCTTCCTCTCCCTTACATATGCAAACTATCCACTCCAGGTCGGGTGCAGCTCTCACACCCATATTCAAATTCTAAAAGCCTGTCCCATTGCCTCATGAGGCATTGGGGGGACACACAGACATAAACCATAACAATCCTTATATATTTATATACCATGTATTAATCTATTCTCCTAGTGACCACTGACTGATACAGGCATGTTTCCTGAATGCTATCACCTTCAACTACTTCATCTGTAAAATGGCATCATGATGATGAAGAAGATGATGATGACGATACCTTAGGGTGCTCAGTTCTTATGACTCAGTACTTCTAAAGCACTTAGAATTTTGCCTACGAAACACTAGAGATCAATAAATATCACCTAAAAAGCAAAATACTTTTTAATTCAACAAATTATAGTATCAAAGTCATAATTTAACTTCACTGCATCTAACAGGTATATTATGTTTCACTATGTGAATATATCATAACTTGTTAATTAATGACACTATATTGGGTTTAATATTTTTCAATGAATAAAATGCTGGAGTTAATATTTTTAGTATATTTTAATATATCCACATTGGTATTTCATAGTTAGAAAGAATTCTGGGACAATGTGCATTTTTAATTATGAGAACCATTGCTAAATTAGAGGTCCCCAAAACAGAGTGGCACAAATGATAGACAAGTAAGTATTCAAACGCAAAAGAATGAAGTGTTACCTCACACTCTTCACTTGACATTTTACCTACATGCTTACCTCATAGTATGTATAAAAATTAATTCAAAATACATTAGAATTCCTATTGTTAAAGCTGTAAAACTATTAGAAGAAAATATAGAGCTAAATTTTTAAGAGCTTAGACTAGGCAGTGGTTTCTTAGATATGACACCTAAAGCATAAACAAACAAGAGAAAGTGGATGGATGAATTAAAGAGCAAATTAGACATTTTTGTGCCTCAAAGGTCTGGGGATGTGGCTTGGTAGTAGAGCACTTGGCTAGCATGAGCAGGTCCTCCGGTCAATTCCCAGAACCACACACCAAAAAAGAGTAAAATGACAACTATTGCGGTCTGAATGGTTATCACCCGCCCACCAAATTCACATGATGAAATTCTAACCCCCAGGATGATGGTGTTCTGCAGTGAGTCCCAATGGGGTGTGATGGGGTCATAAGAGCCGAGTCCTCAGGAATGGAATTATTGTCCTTATAAAATAGGCTTGAGCCAGGCGTGGTGGCGCACCCCCGTAATCACAACACTCAGAAGGGTGAGGCAGGAGGATCATTGCAAGTTCGAGACCAGCCTGGGGTACAAAGTGAGTTCAAGGCCAGCCTGAACTGCATAGCGAGACCCTGTCTCAAAAAGACGAAAAAAAAAAAAAAAAAGCTCGAGTGAGCTCATTGGGCCCTTCTTCGTGGGCCCACGTGAGGACATGGCAAGATGGCACCATTTAGGGACGAAGAACTGTTCTGCTTGACCCTGAATCTGTTGGTGATTTAATCTTAGACTTTCCAGCCTCCTGAACGCTGGGAAATAAATTTCTGTTGTTTGTGATAAACAACTTGTCGGATCAAACTAAGATTACAGCTCACAGAATATAGAATGGCGTCGTCTGTTTAAGAAACATAAGCTTCCCTGCGGCTGCGGTGTGGAGCCGGCGCTGCGCCCAGGGGCGCGGGCCGTGGGACTAGCCAAACGGCTGAGCCGGTCTGGGAGGCCGAGGCAGCGGCTCCGCGGGGAGGAGTGGAGAGCCTCGGAGATATGCCGGGGGGGCCGAGCGGCCTGACACCGACGCATCTCCGCGCCAGGCAGGGTGTGGGTCCCGAGCACTCGGCAGGTCGGGAAGAGGTCTGACTTCCCGGATTGTTAAGCCTCTGCCTAGAACAAGAATAGAGATTCCAACCCAG